GAAATTTGCAGCAGAAGGATGACTAAATCTGAGGCCCCAGGTCCCCAGGTTTCTTTTGTCAAGAAGCATGGAGCCCAGCTAGAGAAAGACAACACATTTGGGGCAATGATTCTCAGCTGGGGTTCTGTGAGATCCTTTTAAGGGCCTTTCAATATTAGCACTGTTAGATGTATGAATACCTACACAACTCACAAGATTATCCCAGAGATTTCAAATAGGAATCCAGTGTCAAAAACATTCTGCCCTGCTGTGGTCTTTCTGCGTTCTTTGCAACAGAAGAATTGCTATTTTATTTTTTCTAGCCAAACTATAAGTGAAAGTGAAGAGCTGGCATTTTCTGAAGTGTACCTTGAGTCTAGCAGGGACTGTCTTGAGTCTAAAATGGTTGGTAACCACTATCTAAGGGCATTCAGTGTTCTGCAGAGAGGTGCTAGCTCATGTATCAAGAGCCTACATAGAGCCAGGCTCTGCTGTGCTGAGATACCTGGAAATAGTATTAATCCTAGATGCTAAAATTTGTGGTGATACTTAGGCTGCCTTTGCACACACTAGCTCCATAACTTGAATTAATTGGGCTATGCTAAAACAGCACTGTACATGGGTTTATAGGCCCTACTTTACACAAAGCTGATTAGCCCAGACATAGCTTGGCCTAACATAGCTGTAGTGATAAGTGTTCTGGAGCTAGCGTGCACTGAGATCTCTACCTCTTGCCATGTGGTCACTGTCTTAGTCCTGAGATTTTGGCAGTAAAGGAGCTCTGGGCATCTGAGTGGACTCTTGGGCAGGACACTTCTGAAACTGAGAGACAAACCACCTCAAATGAAAATTACGAGCTAGAGGATTGAATCCTTTGGCATACTTTCATGACATGTTTTACCTCAGTCTTCCTATGCCAGTTCTCCAAGTATGTGGGGTCCCAAGCAAAGCAAGACCTAACTGCTGATCAGCTCCTTCCTGCCACTTTCATGTCCTCAACATAGCAACTAGTTGCCTTCTGACTACAACTCTCCCTAGCTTATGGTGAGGCCCACCTGCCTTGCCATTATTGGTGCCAGGCTAGGATAGAGGAAGGGAAGTTCAGTAGGTTTATAATTCTCTGTGGCAACATTTCGCAAACTGTGGGGGATGGCTGCCTGGTGGAAGTACAAAGGATTCCTACAGGGCACATGGAAATCATGGCAGCAATCATGGTGCCCTCCACTTGAGTTGCTCCTGTGCCCCCTACTTCAGCCACTGCTGCCACTCCTGCTACGGATTCCCATTGCCACTGAAGTAGGGGTGTGTAAGAGTGGTTGACTGCTACATTGAGGCATAAACCTCCAGGGTATGGGAATAAAGCCCTCTTAGAGACCTGCAGGTAATTCCCAGTTTTCTGTTTAGCCTGTTCTTTTCCTCTGGGTGTCTGGTCAGTTTTTCCTCCTGTGTTCTGATGGATTTGAAACCAACATTTTTCTCTCTGGTTTCAGCCCACCTATGCATTTTGGGAGTCCTGAGCGCTCAGTCCCCCACAAGGAGAGCACCCATTAAACTGGAGACTTGCTCTTGTGCACACAATCTGCTGCTCGATTTCTTGTTGTCATTTCCAGGTGTTATTTTCCTGAGTTTCTCCTAGTTTCTCAGTTCTCTGAACCCTTGTTGCTGATCCACAAGGAAAGCTAGTCATTGCTTGGGGGGCCAGGGGGAGAGGTGTATTTTACACAATCTTACCTGTTATACCTGCTGCTGTTTAATACCTACATTTTTCTCACGGCTAAAAATAACAAGGGAATAAACATTAACGAGATGGGCAATGTTTTGGATTCTCCTCCATTGTGATTTTTTTTTAATTAAATAAGTCAAGTCAACCATCTTCTAACAGGTCACAAGGTTCACATTCATTTCTGTGAATCCACAAGGCTGATTCAGACCGGAGCACTGAGTATTCTGTTCAGGGGACAGGTCTGTCGAGAGCTTCCACTGGCGAGCAGACCACAGTGGGGATGGCTGGTTAGGAAAGCCTGTGTCACAGCACTGCTGCGGAGCTAGGTGAGCCTTTAAGTTAGAACCTCAACATGGGGCCAGTAATAAAATGCATGTATATTGGTATAGCTGCAAGTTTATTTTTCCAAAAACTCCCAGCTAGTAGTGCAGAATTCTCCCCATCCAGAAAAATAAACAAGAGGATGTTTGACTCCCTCAGCTGCACACTTCCTGCTGCCCAACGAAGCTAAGCCAGTGCCTTTTCCTTTAAAGTCTGCCTTGTGCTGTGTCTGCTTCACCTCGCCTCCTTTCCCCTTAGATTTTCCGCAGTGGGAGAACCCCTGCGGTTAAAGTCACAAGGTCTGCTTCAAATCCTGGATGCGGGTATTTTGATTTTAAACAAAAAGAACAGCTGTTCTGGGCAGCACAATATCAGCCATTAAGAGGGGTGAACACCTGAGATTCCTTTCTTTGAGTTGAAAAGCAACAGACAATTGAGAAGAGGAAGAAAGAGCTGAAGTAATGAAGCTGCCCATCTTAAGAGTCCTGGAGCCCTGACAGCAGCCAAGAGCCTTCCTCCCTGGCCCACGGTGATGACGTGCAGTACAGCAGCAAATACAAAGGCTCCATTCAGATCCTGCTGCCTGCTCTCTGCTCCCTCTTCCTCCACACCTCTTCAGCAAGGGGGTCTCCCCCCTGAAACAAAGCTCTCAGAGCCAGCCTGTTAACTGGAGAGTATGAGGCACGACTGCAAGGAGGGCACAACAAGCAGGTGGCAAGTGGACCTTTCTATCAGCACCTGGGCCTGGCCCATTTCTCATGAAATGCAGGGAAGAATGGGAAGAGGTGCACATCTAGAGAACCTGGTAGAAGAGGGTTAAGTTTTAGAAACCTGCCTTTCCTTTTCCAGTAACTGAAATGCAGAAGAATATTCCCTTTTATTTACAAAGGTCAGAGTTTCTCTCTCTTCCAGATTAAAGATGTGTTCATCAAGTGAGGAAAAAAACCCCTAAATAAATAAGTGCTGAATGACTCTCTTGTGCTTGGGAAGGTCAAGTGACTGACTGAGTAGAGAACTGAATCCCTCTGTCTCTCCCCGTCTGTGTATATAGGAGGTAGCCATGCAGTGCGATTCCCCAAGCTGCTAATGAATGCAGCTCTGACTTGAGGGACTACTCCAGGAAAGAGACAGGATTCCAGTGTCTGGGCCAAATCCTGCTGTGACTTAAACCCCACTGAAGTGAAGTGAGACTGCCAAAGGTGTATATTATAGTTGAATTTGGCCTTTAATTCCTGGGCGTATCTTGCACTTATCTACCAAACTGCCTCAGGCTCTAACTGGGATTTTTTTTCCTCCCCATGTTCAGTGAAGAGACCTGGTATCAGTTCGAAACTATGCAGAAATTAAGTACCTATGCTTACTTCTTAGTAGACAAAGGTGTGATCCCAAAGGTCATTAGCCCATCCTTTATGCCATGTGCCATTTCACTTCTGTGGATTTCTGTGCTTTTCTATGTCATAAGGGATTGCCATTCTGTACTTACTGTTTGTCTTGCTTGCAATTTTACTGTGGTTCCCAAAAGGTTAGGAGGATACTGTTACTTGAAAAGCAGTCATTTAAAAAAATGAATGAAAAGCAGGTACAGGTATAATGCCATGCCAGTTTTTGGAGATTTTACCACCATGTTTTCCCTTATCGTATTAACAACTCCTGTTAGGATGTGAAAATCCCTCACATATAATAGATAACAGTGCAAAACATACTGTCAATGCACAAAATAGATAGCCTGAGAAAATACAACCATGTATTTTTAGTCAGATTCATTTAGAAAGAGTGGAGGTGTTACCTGCTGTGATAGCAGTTTTTATCTGTGTAATTTTTGTTTTATTGTTTGTATCCAGATGTTAAAGAGATAAACTGAAAGGATTTCTCAAAATGAAACAGCATTTTGTTTGAAATCAAAATTGAGCTGCTCCTGGTACACCTGTCTCTCCACTTCCCATTTCCTGTGGTCTCTTCTGACTGTCTGTTTTGGGTATAGCTCTAACTCACTGCTAATAAAATATTCCCCCCTTTTTTTCATATAATAAATAAATTAATTCCCCTTGCAGTTTATAATGGTAAAAACTCCATTCTCTAACCAGTTTTACCTATGGCAAGAAGTGACAGCTTCTTCCCTGCAAGGCTGCAGCCCTTGTACACATGCACGCGCGCGCGCGCACACACACACACACAAGCATATCAAATTAAACACTAAAAAAAGCACAACATAGAAAAGCACAAACAATTAAAAAACAAACCCCATCATGATCACCTCATTTCAGCATAACCAAAGTGCTGGTTGGAGCTGCATTTACTGCCCCTGTCTCTCCAGGAAAGTTTCCAGGACAGTTTCCATTGCAGGTTGCTACTGGATCTGGTCAAAAACTCTAGTCAGCAAGGGACTGTGGGTCCAGTTCACTACTGCTCTGCCTTGGCCCCAATCCAAACCCCAGTAAAGCCAATAAGGGCTTTTCCACTGCTTTAAATGGGCCTTAGATCATGGCCCTTGTGTAGGTATACATTTGTCAATTTTTATGTTGGCAGGTTTTACAGCTATCTGCACTGATGCAGACCAGGACAGTTTTCTGGTAGGTGGGGTTTCAGTAGTTCTGTACTCTGTATGCATTGCTCTTGTCTTAAATATTCCAATGAAATGCTGCAAGATGCATTAAAGGCCTGATTCATGGAAGCACACCAGTTCAGGATAGCACTTACTCATGTGCTTACCTTTAAGAGGGGTATGAAGTCACATAGGGGTATTTGTGCTTTCCTGCTACTTGTCCATAGATAAAACCACCACCTTCCAAAGGTCCTGGAAATGCAGGTTGTACTGGGGCATGTTAAGTGAACCCAGACCATTGCAAATCTCTACCTCTACCTTGCTGTTCTATTTTTGTAGAGGCTGGCCATATTATCTTAGGCTGACAGGTGAGATTGCTTTGGGAACATGTAAATGTCTCCGAGATAGAACCTGTGTGTTTAATAAAAAGACTGGCTTATGTTTATCTGCACCAGGGAAAAAATAACAAATGAATGACTATATGTAAGGAAAGATTGTTGACAGTTGTTCACTGGTCCTTTGCGGTTCAAAAACCTGGGGGACAGTATTTTAAAATAAGTACTTTGGTGGGTGCTGAGTTTGATTATGCAAACTACAGAATCTCTGTCATAAAAGTACACATGGAAGAGCCTCCTTTGAAGCTTGTGGGGATTTTATCTGTTTCTTTCCACTTTTACAAACTGCATTCAGCCATGAGTAGTTCTCTGGGAAAGCAAAAAATATAAAAGGAGTTAGGCTGCAAATGTAGGTTTTAAAAACTAAGGGACTTACAAAACCAGCTAAATTAATAAATGTTTTCAAGATTTTTTTTCAAATGTCAGTGGAAGCAGTTTCCAGGTGTTTTTTGCTCAATATTTTCTTGTAGTGCTTGCAACCCAAATGCTGCTGCATTGTGTTAGCACAGGTGAGCTGCAAAGAAGAACTGCCTCATCTCTGTTTTGGTTGTCCAAACTCTGGGAGATACAGAAAATGAATACCTTGCAGAGTTACTGAAAAGCAAACTTTGATCCTTAGAAGGATTACAATTTTAACAATGTATGATTCATTAGTAAGATTATGTGGTATCTTTTAGAAGGAAAGGTGTGGCGTTGCTATCTTTGCCAGAGTATCTCTCAACTTAATTTTCTTTTAGATTAAGCAACTACCCATTTGTCTTAAAGTGCTTTGTGATTTGAGAGTTCTGGCCAGAATATCTTGCCTGTATTTTTTGCATGTTTCTGTTCAATCTTGCTGATGTTTATGTGAGCTGCACTAGCAAGGCCTGACAGAGGCCTTAAACAAAATTTGTCTGGATCATCTCCTGATTAGCTTCTACCTTGTTACTCCTCTACTTACTCTCTAGCTCCAGCTTCCTCAGCACTCCCAGGTTGTGTCCAAAGGAGATAAAAGCAGCTTTCCCCCTTCTCTGCTACCCAGCTGTACTCCTCATTACCCTTGTGCATGATAATTATAATGCCATCTCATGCTGGTGCATGAGAATATGAAGTGAAACCAGCCATTAGCACAGGAGGGCACAGTAGAAGCAACTGTGTCCCAGATCATGGCAAGTGCAAAAAGCAAATATGTTAAAGAACAGAGAAAAACATTTTCCTTGCAATATGTGAATTTAGCATAATCTATGGTGTTATTTGGGACAACACTAAGTCAAGACATGTTCCAGGAAGGAATGTGTTATCTGTTGATGGAATCCCTTTAAATGTAATTAAAGTGAACCTAACGCTGCTCCTTGAAAAATAACATTAAAAAAAAAAAAAAAAATCACTTTTAGCCAGCATGTTATTTTGATGTTTCTGCCCTGAAGATAATTTAAGGGTGAGCAAGGGAGTCCAATAACCCTTTCCAGACTTGGCTAAGGTGAGAGACCAGTCTCCTGGTAACCAAAACCAAGCTTAAGTGTGCAGCTGGACAAGGAGCAGCACATGCTAGAAATTGGTCTGTTGCAATCTGCGCTCATGTCTTCCTGTTAGAGAAACTATTTCTATTGCCCAACTTTGGACAAGGTCCCACTTGCCCATATCCCAGTCTTCCCCTCCCCTCTCTCCCTCCCCACCAAGAAAACTAATTGGACAAACAATTTCCTCTTCTTTGGGCTGGAGGGTTACTGCCAACCTCCAACCAGCACTCCAGAGAAACAAAAGCAACAAGACACAAATACAACTACAGCAATGCCCTACCACAACCAGGCAAAAAAGCATTCATTGTTGTTCTGTAGACACCAGCTACTATCAAGGGGTTGCTGAGGAAACGGCTTGCAGATTTTTTTATGGGGGAGTAAAAGACAAAACTGTTGATACCACTTAGGAAGGCAAGCCCAGTCCCCAGAGATAGGGAAGACTGCTTTCTCTTGCTCTTTCTTAAATAGCTTTCCCATTGTCTCTCTACCATCTCTCAGCTGCTGGCTTTGGTGCATTTGATAGCAAGACAAAAAGCAGCCAACATGAGGAATCCTGCACCTGGGCCAATAATCTCTAATGTAGTACAGCTGTTGCTGACTTTGCTGCATGTCTGTCCTGTATCCCTGGAGTTGGGGATAGTTTGCTGGTCCTTGTAGGACCCACTCATGTCTCTTCAAATTTGAACAACTGTTTATTTCAGGGTCTGAAGACCACCCACACAATATCCTGGGTTTGAATGTTTACCAGCAGTCACTAGGGTGCTTGTTCCCTTACCTCCCCATTGTTGGGGATTTACTAAGCTGTTTCTTGACAACAAACCTGAAACAAGTCCCTCTTGGCATTTCTGTCCAACAAGGAAACCACAACAGCCAGGTCTGCCTCAGGTAATATCAGAGCACTCCTTGGCTTTTCCCACCTCCTCTTGTACTTGGCAGGATGAGGGACTCTAAAATGTACAGTTTAAAAAAAAATAGGATTCTCTCTTTGGATGTTTAGTGCAGAAATGCCTTTTCAGCAAAGGGTGGCGCCTCCGCTGGGAAGAAAGCTAAGAGCTGAGGTATGGAAGCTGGCACCTATTGCTTTGGTTCTTCCCACTGCCAGCATTTGAGCTCTGCTTAGTTCAGAGGGTTGCCACATTACAGTCTCCATCTAGAGAGCTGAGCTTTTGGTTGTGGCTAAATGCCCTCTTGTCCTCTGGAGAAACAGAAAACACCTAGAATGAACAAGGAGCATGTGTCAAACACAAGCTTTAGAGATGAGGGTGTGATACAGGTCAGCAGGGCATGGTGCCCCGTTCCTGCTTCCTCAGCTGTTCCCATGTTCCATTTCTATTTTTGTCAGTCTAACAATATATTTCTTTTTAGAAAACCAGCAACAAAGGATCTTACGTGATCCAGAAGGTCCTTCTTTCCTCTAACAGGCTGATGGATCGGTTTGTCAGGGTCTCAGGATTGCTGGCTACTTTGTAGCCAAACAGACTCATGGCTGGGCCACAGACGTTCTGTACCACCTGGGCCAACTTGAATGGGATGCTGAAGCGCCACTTCTCAAACTGTTCTGAGGAGTTTTTCTGGGTGGAGTAGATACCACTGCTGTCCTGAGGTGCCTGCGTGTTCTTCAGTATCCACTCCTCCACCTGCGGTGTGATGCTGATATCTGCAAACCTGTACATTTCTTTGGCCTTTTGGAGTGGGGACCGGGCAATGTCCTCATAGCGAATCAGCATATAGCGGCCCCGCAGCCACACAGGCTGCCTCAGGCCAAGTTCAGCTGAGAGACGGATATTCTCGCAGTTCCCTCGCAGTCGCTGCACCTCATCCTCATTGAGGGGAGCTGCTCCTTCTGAAGCCCATTTCTTCCAGGTCTCATACTTGCCTGAGAAGGCAACCATGCGTGAAGCCAGCACCGCCCGTGGGTCTCGCACCAGCTGGATGATCCTCATGTCTAGGCGAGGATCTTCAACCAATGGCTGTAAGAACTCCAGCTGCCGTATTCGCACAGCTTTGAGAGCCATGTGGTCCTTGCGTAGGCAGGCCTCCGCTGCAAGGGTCACATTCAGGGGGCCGCACTGACGGTTCTTGCAGTGGTACTTCTCAAAGACCTTTTTGACATAAGGGGTGCATACAGGCTCTTCGCACAATGAGCGGCTTGAGCCTCGCCGGAACATATACTGTGTCAAGTGGTCCTCAGGGAGTGGGCTGATGAAGTTCTCCAGGATGTAGAGGTCACAGAGAAACAGCTGCTTCAGGACATCTCTGTAGACAAGGGCTGACCCCACAGCATTTGCACCACCAGGTTCAAAGGACACTGTCCTCTCAATGTGCCAGAGTGGCTCAAAGAGGTAGAAAATGTTGCCTTGTTGGTTGAAGAACTCGCCCACAAAGGAGGAGCCTGTGCGGGTGGTGGCCATGAGCAGTACATGTCTCCGGGGCCCCTTGGCAGGGGCCACAGCAGGCTCCCTGTTCCCTCCTAGCTGCAGGGTAACATTCAGAAGCCGGTTTCTGATCTGAGAGAAGGCAGAGTCCAGCTCACTGAGGGATAAGAGGGACCCATTTTCTGCTAGCACTAAGCCAGGGTCTGTGCTGTTTGCCTCCATCAGGGATTGTGGGGTTTGCTTCAGCTTGTCTGATACTCTGCAAACAAAACAAAAGCATCAAGACAAACATGGAAGCAGTGACTGAAATGACCAAGGGGGGTGTTGTTTAGGCTTTCCCCTCTAAGCAGCTGAGGGTATGCCTTACTTTACCTCAGGCCTGAAGAATTCAGTAATTTTGTCCTATTCCTTTGTGCCCATTTGCCTATGTCACAAACCCAGCAGACATTCACACAAGAATCATTCATACTCCTAGGAATTAGTAACTGGGTGTTGCAAGTGAAAATTGGTTGAGAGCCCTAAGAGAAGCCAAGATTCATAGATTCTAGGGTCAGAAGGGACCTCAGTGGGCCATCTAGTCTGACCTCCTGCCCCTGGCAGGCAAGAAAAGGGTTACCAAACCTGGGGTCATGTGAACCCAGCCAGGTGCCTGTCCAGTCTCCTCTTGAAGACCCCCAAGGATGGGGCAAGCACCACCTCCCTTGGAAGCCCATTCCAGATCCTGGCCACCCTGACATGAAGAACTTTTTTCTAATGTCCAGCCTAAACCTTCTCTCTAGTAGCTTATGGCCATTGTTCCTTGTTGTTCCAGGGGGTGCCCTGGTGAACAGATCATTGCCTACTTCATGTTGCTCTCCTCTTATGAATTTGTATGCTGCCACAAGGTCCCCTCTCAGCCTTCTCTTGGAGAGGCTGAAGAGGTTAAAGTTCCTTAGCCTTTCCTCGTAGGGCCTTCCCTGCAGGCCTCTAATCAGATGAGTGGCTCTTCTTTGGACCCTCTCCACGTTGTCAGCCTCCCGCTTGAACTGCGGCATCCAGAACGGGACACAGTACTCCAGCTGCAGCCTGACCAGTGCTGCATAGAGGGGGAGAATCGCCTCCCTAAACCTGTTAGTGAAGCACCTACAGATGCATGACAAGGTGTGATTGGCTCTGCTGACTACTTCATCACATTGATGACTCATGTTCATCCTGGAGTCAACAGTGACTCCAAGATATCTTTCTGCCTCAGTGGTGCTGAGAAGGTCACCCCCCAGCCTATAGGTATGATGGCAGTTCTTCCTCCCTAGAAAGAACGGCCTAGGATTCCTTTCTTCCTAGGATTGAAATCGCAGGAGATGCTGTGGGTCAGGACTGAGACATTTTCAAGGATCTACTTATGGCAGGGCTGTCCAGTTTCTAAGTGGTCATGGGCTGCACACTCCATGGGCTGTGTTAGCAGGGGTTACACCAGTGGGTCCGTACACCCGCCAGGGACAAACACCATGTGCCCCTCCACTACATTGTATATCTCCCCACTGCACTGCAAGCCCCAATATCCCCTTCTCCCCACAGTGCACTGCATGCCCAGGTGCCCCACCTCACTTTAAGCTCCCTGGCACCATAGGCCTTGGGCTCCCCCGGCCCTATGGGCTATACCATGCTGCATAACCACATCCCTTAAGGTGTGGAAGGGGAAGCCAGAGGGAGGGGGAGCCCAGTAACTCCATTTGTTTCTTCAGCTAGAGCAAAGGGGGAGGAGGGGGAGAATAGCGGCCAGGTGGGACTCTTGGATCCACAATTTAATCTTTTGTGGGGAGGGGGCTGCATGTGGCCCATGGGTCACCAGTTGGACAGCCCTGGCTTATGGAACATTTCTGCAGCATGTGCCTTCTCTAGTAACTCTGCATTTTCACAGTCACTATCTACGCTTTTTTTTTTAAGAGTGGTCCCCTCTGACTGTGGGCCAGTTTGCAATTTCAGCTCTGCACCATGAAATTGTCTCACTTGTCCAACTGTTTGGTTATTTTAAGTTCTTCTTTGGTTCTCCTCACCATAGTATTCAGCATGTTCACTCTCAAGGTGTGAGACATACATAGTCCTGCTGTCTGGGGTGGGGATGGAGGATGGTTAGAAATAAGTTGGAAATCAAGGCATGACAGTGTTAAGATTGATGGACAGGAAGATCTGAGGAGTAGGTAGGCTGTATAATGAAACAGGGAAAGGGATGACAGGTTAAAAGATTAATTTATAACCAAGCTTAATTTTACTAGGTTGTGGAACTTTTATTGTAAGTGTCTGTCTGGACAGGCAGGGAGTGTAAAAAAAAAAAAAAAAAAAAA